GCTGCAGCTCCTCCCGAGGGGAGGCAGAGGGGCAGGGGCTGAGCTCTGCTCTGGGCCAGGGCCAGGAGCCCAGGAAGGGCTGGAGCTGTGTCAGGGCTTGGCATGGAGCTCAGGGAAAGGTTCTTCCCCCCGAGGGTGCTGGGCACTGCCCAGGCTCCCCAGGGAATGGTCCCGGCCCCAAGGCTGCCAGAGCTCCAGGAGCGTTTGGACAGCGCTCTCAGGGATGCTCAGGGTGGGATTGTTGGGGGGTCTGTGCAGGGACAGGGGCTGCACTGATCATCCCTGAGGGTCCCTCCCAACTCAGGATACTCCAGGATTCTAATTTACTGCCAGCTGAGGACTGGAGGAAGCACTGGCTATCGACACAGAATTTGATGTTAGACCAGCGTGGTGGCTGGAAGGAGTGGACATGCTATGGACACCCCTGCTGCAGTGTCTGACACCGATCCCTTGTGACTGCTGCCCCAAACAGGATTCTTTACAAAAATCTAATACATCATTCATGAAAGGAAAACTGATTCCTCTGACTTGCTTTGGGAAGGAGGCTGGCTTGTGGTGTTTCCCAGCATGTGGATACTGGAATGGCGAGGAACATGAGCTGCCAGAATTCGGGTGCCGGGTGGTACCTCATTCCCAAAGCTGGGTTCCTAGGTGGATGTTCCTTGGTAGCAGGAGGCAGACACCTCTCCTGGCGGTACCACACAAGGGAATTTGCTACTGCAGCTGCAGTAAGTGTTGGTTTACACGCTTTCCTGAGAAACTTTTCACTGCTTTGTCTTCACTCCAGTTCCTCATGTGCAGATTTCCCCCATTTTTTTTTGTTTTGTTTTTGGTTTTGGGGTTTTTTTAGCGTTTATTTTCGGCATGCTGCTGTTGCACGGAACGAACCCCCCGAATCCCCCGGGGGCAGCCTCATGGCCAGGGGCCGGTTGTCCCCCGGGGGTCCGGGCGGGTCCGCATCCCCGGGGCGCGGGGCGGGGGGCGGGGCCGGGGGTCGCGGGGCCGCCAGTGTGGCCGGGGCGGGCGCGGGAGAAGATGCCCAAAGCCGAGCTGCCGGGACACCGGGGGAGCCCGCGGCGCTCGGCGCTGGGGTAAGACCGGGACCGGCTCCGGGCCCGTGGGGGTTCGCCGGGGGGAGCGGGGCTGGGACAGGGGGGTCCCACGCGGGGGCGGCGGGGGGAGGGACTATATGCGGGCGGAGGGATCCGGGCGCGGCGGGCGGTGGGAGGCGGCTCGGTGGGTGGAAGGGGCGGGCGGAGGGAGCGGCGCACACCGACCGGCGGGAGCGGGGCCAGGGCCCGGCGGCGCCCGCGGGAACGGCACCGGGAAAGGAGCGGGAGCGAGACGAGCCGGGGCCGTGGCGCCGCCTCCCGGGGGCAGCGGGAGCGCGGAAGAGGCGGCGGCGGCGGCAGGCGAGCGCGGCGGCCGGGAAGAGCCGGCGGGAGGCGGCCGGAGCCAGGCGGGAGCGGGCCGGGAGGAGCCGCCATGGAGCGGAAGAGGTGGGAGCGCTCGGCGGGGCCGCCCCGGGCGCGGGGGGGCCGCGGGAGGCCGGGCCGGGGCTGCAGCCACAGGTGGAGGGGAAGGGAGCGGGGCACCGGCCCGGAGGGCTCGGGGATGCTCGGCCCCCCTCAGGGATCGGGCAGCGCTGTGAGGAGCCCCCGCGTCCCCTCGGAGCGGCTCGTGCCCTGCGAACACCCGGGGCTCTTTATTCTCAAACGAGCAGCAGGGCTGTTGTTTCTTTTCTCTCGGGGCTCGCTCTGCTGCTTTTTGGGTGTACTTAGGGATTCTGGGGAGGCAGCGTCGGCTGCTGGCGGTGTGGCCCCGGGGCGGCTCGGGGTGCACCTTCCCGGGAGTGTGGCTGTGGGGGGAGCACATGGCCCGGGAGCTGGAGGGTTGCTATTTATAGCCCTGCATGGCTCATATGGCTGTAGGTGGCCATATGGATCCTCCCCGCACCCACGAGGCACCCGCGGGCTGAGGTGTGAAACTCGGGTCCGGCGGGAGCTGGGAACGCGGCAGGAGCTGTGCCTGTGTCCTCACCTGGCCCTGCTTGTCGGGAAAATCCAAACCACCAACTTCTGCATCTGTCACAGAATCCTCACAGGCTGGTCTGGGTTGGGAGGGACCTTAAAGCCCGTCTCATTCCACCCCCTGCCCTGGGCAGGGACACCTTCCACCTGACCAGGTGGTTCCCAGTCCCGTCCAACCTGGCCTTGAACACTTCCAGGGATGGGGCAGCCACAGCTTTAGTTTCAGGTTTCATTTTTAGAATCAGATTGTGGTTATGAGAAAAGGGTGAGTGAACCAGAAAATGCCATCCTCGAGAGCGTGAAGCCGATTCTGCTGCTGCAGCTCGGGGGCTGAGGGAAGGACGAGACCACCAGCAGCAGCTGAAAGCTTAAAAGATCCTGTTTTTCCCAGAACTTGTTTGTTAAGTTGCAGTGTCTGAGCTGAACTTTAAAAAAAGGAGGAGAGAGGATAAGTAGGACGCTTTTATTCCCGAATTATGGGTTTTCCCTTTGTATCAATTTGGACAGAGATCAAAGGTAGAATAGAGCTTTGTTGCATTAATTTTTGGTTTCTGTTGCATTTTGCATTACCTCAGAGTGGCAAATACAGGTGTGGCAGTTCAGTAATACCTGTGCGAGTTCTGCCTGTTATTTAGTTGGGTGATTGTTCAGTCCAGCTCCTGGGGATATAGACATGCAGGGAGGGCTTGTGGAAAACCCCCTGTGAGACGTGTGTGTGAGCCAGTCTGTGGCTGGAAATTATATCTTCCTGGGCAGGTCTTTAAAGCCGGTCCTCGAACCTCATCCTTAAGAGGTTTCCTGGCTGATATGATGGGACTTGTGGGCTGGATTCGGAGTGAGCAGGAAAAGTGAGGGATGGAGGATTTCAGGAGGAAAATCGTGACAGAGATTTTGTCCAAGTGGCACGTTGTCTTTGAGAGAATTTTGGCTCTCTTCAAACTCAAGATTCTCACACAGGGGAAGGAGAATTTAGTGCTGCTTTGTGGGGCTTTTTTCTTCAGAGTGTTTTTCTCCTGAAGGTTTGATGACCAAGTGTCAGAAATTTGGGATCGCTGCTTGTCTCTGCCTCAGGTTGTTGACATCACTGTGCTGGGAAACTTCACACTCTTGTGTCAAGCTTACTTTGTTGAGAATTCCTTACCTTTGCAGCACAAATGTAAGAAGTTGGAAAGGAATGTTTTTATCACTCCTCCAAGGATATTTTGATCAGTACAATCTTTTAAAAAAAATTGTGGAGCAGAATGCTTTTACTGAGTCTAGACTTTGCTTTTCCTCTGTTGCTCTGGTTTGCCTGCAGGAAAGCTCATTATTTTTCACAGGAGAAGGAAGCAGCCTCAAGTTGCACCAGGGTTGGGTTAGGTTGGGTATTAGGGAGATTTTTTTCATGGAAAGGGTTGTAAAGGATTAGAACAGGCTGTCCAGGGCAGTGGTGGCATCATTATCCCTGTAAATGTTCAAAGAAACATGTGGATGTGGCACTTGGGGACATGGTTTAGTGGTGAACATGGTGGTGATGCTGGGGTGAAGTTGGATCTGATGATGTTAAAGGTATTTTCCATTCTTAAGAATTCCATTATGCCTGAGTTGAGCCCTGCAAAATCATCTGGTTGTATTGTGTTTGTCCCAGTGTTATGGAGCTGCCACTTCGGCTCTTCCTTAGGGATGTGATGCTTCTGGAAATTTGGGAGATTTTGTGTGTCTCCAAGTGGTTTGTTTGGGGTTTTTTGGGGGGTTTATTTTTGGTATGGTTGGAATCCAAGTTGCTGAATGAAGACCCCCCCCATTGCCCTGTGGGGCAGGGAGCATCATCCTTTGGGAGCGTCATCCCTTCCACATGCTTGGGACAGGTCGGGTCCCCGAGGCTGCTCCGTGCAGAGTGTGGGATGGCGTGGATATGTTTTAGGGTGTGGGGTGGGGATGGGGCTGTGGATGTTTTAGGGTGTGGGGTGGGGATGGGGCTGTGGATGTGTAGGGGTGTGGGGTGGCGATGGGGCTGTGGATGTTTTAGGGTGTGGGGTGGCGATGGGGCTGTGGATGTTTTAGGGTGTGGGGTGGCGATGGGGCTGTGGATGTTTTAGGGTGTGGGGTGGGGATGGGGCTGTGGATGTTTTAGGGTGTGGGGTGGGGATGGGGCTGTGGATGTTTTAGGGTGTGGGGTGGGGATGGGGCTGTGGGTGTACAAGGGTGTGGGCTGGGCTGTGGCAGCTGGAGGTGTCCCCACCTGGTCTGGCCTGGTTTTTATGGCTGTGCCAGCCCATCCCAGCACAACCCAGCTGGAGTGTGGGACTCCGAGGCAGGGCTGGGTGTGGATCCAGGGATAACGGGAGGATGCTGTGAAAGAGACGCTGACAGTGGTGGGCTGTGCGGTGTCCTGGGGTCCCCATCTCCCCGGGAGCACCATCGGGACGTCCTGCAGCCCTCCAGGAGCCCCTGGTGCTGGGATTTGCCTGGAGCAGAACTGGGGAGAAAGGTGAGGGAGGGAGCACGGTGGAAAGCAAAAAGGAGAATCATTTTGTGTTCTTCCCTTGCCCCATCCAGTGAGGGAATGCGAGTGTCTGCATTCAGTGACCCGTTTTCCCTGGGTTATTCCTGCCTCCATTTCTTCCAAAGGCAGGCGGTGGCTGGGTTTGCTCAGGGCTTTTTTTTGTCTTTTGTCCCTTGCTTCCCAAGTTGTGCAGATCCTGTGCAGGCTAAATGGGAGAGCGGAGGGGAGGAGACTGTGATGAGGGAGGAGGGGAGAGGGCCTGGGCAGCCGCTCTCTCCTTAAGAATATAAGGGCAGGAAACAAAGGGTGAGCTGCACATGGAGAGCAGGGGCACCTGGCAGGCCTGGCCCTTCAATAGGCTGCCCCGAACGCGGCTTAATCCGCACGGAAAAGTCTGGGAATGAGAGCTGGGGGTGGCTCGGGGTGGCTCCCAGCAGCCAGGTCTGTTTTGTTAGCCAGAGCCAAGCAGCCCAAGCGAATAAAGCCCCGGAGCTGGTGATGGACGAGCATGGAAAATCCTTTGCAAGTTGTAAACTCCTTTGCAACTTGGCCGTGTCCTTGCCTTTCACACTCGGGGAACTGTGACAGAGCCTCATTCGGGAGCCCGGATCAATCCAGCTCTCAGCGTCACTGCCTGGGGGGATATTACAGAGCAGAGCTTGAGGTTTGCAGCTTTGTACCAAAATGGCTCGGTTTTGGGCCTCTTTAAAATCTTTGTGCAAAACCAGGAGAGCAGGAGGAGGTAAATTCTGTATTTTGTGACATTTAAAATGCACTTTAACAGGGCTCAGAGTTCATGGTGTTGGGGGAGTTCCTGTGTGTCCTGGTGTGCAGCAGGAATCCTGCCCAAGTTTTGGGTTCCTCTGCCACCCCCCCACCTCTGACCCTCCCAGGTGTGTGTAGGTTCCCCAATGTCCTGCATGGTCCTGCCAGAGGGTCCCCAGGAGCTCCAGGGCACCCCACCCCTTCCTGTCTCAGTTCACTGTCACCTTTTGGTCACAGCTTTGCTCCCTGGTCTGCTGTTGTCCCAGAGAGCCTGGGGATGATCCTACCTTTTGCAAGACCTAATCAGAATAAAAGTTTTTCTTCTGAACATTTCAGTGCTTTTCCTTTGGGCCAAGCTTCCCCAGGAAGAGACAGGACTCTCAGTCATTTCAGGTGGGTTTTTTGAGACTCTGAGCAGCTTTTCAGTTCTTCCTTGCAAAATGACCACAGCACGTACTAAACACACAGAGATGAAGGGCTCTGTTCACTTCAAATCTTGTCTTTGACTGTACTGACTGTTCTGGAAATTACTCTGCACTTTAATGTGTTATTTTTAAACCTGCTAAGACACTAAACCCTAAATTGGAGCAGCAGATCTTGGAAGAGGAAGCAATGCCATGTTCTTCGTGTTGCAGGTGTTTCTCTTCTGGCTTCACTGGCAGCAACAGCTCTGCCCTGAAGCTGCTGGATTTGGTTATTCCTCTCTCTGGACTGAGGCAAATAACTCCCTTTATAGTATGAAAAAGGGATTCACAAATTTGAGGCTGGACACAGACTCTGTTCCTGGCTGCGTGGTCCTACTCTGTGTTGTCTCCTGGCCCAAGTGCAGCTCCACAGGGAGCTGGTCCAGCTGAGGAATAACCAGTGAGGGAGAGTTTCTTCTCCCTGCCCTCCAAAGATGGATTATTTTCCTTAGCTGGTTCATTTGCATGAACACTGGGATGTGTGAGCAGTGGTGGTGGCAGGGAGGAGATCCAGGCAGGATAAGCAGCTTGGGAGCAGTTGGAGCCAGAAGCTTCCTAAGCAGATGCTGTGTGGGATCACCACAACCTTTCAGTCTTAACTCCTTCGAGAGACTTCTTCTAATTTCAGTTTTAATGTAATTTATATTGAATTTATCTCAGTTTTTAGAGAGCTTTTAATACTTTGGTACTTTCTGGGTTTGTTTTTTTTTTAACCTATTTTTTTTTTCATGCACAGTCTGACTTAGCCTAATTGCTTTGTCACTGTCCTATACCAGAAATTCTCTGCTTGTGCTGGTTTTCTCCTAATAAAGCTTTGGGGCAGGAGACAATATGTGAAAATAGACATTCTTTTTTGTTTTGTTTTGTTTTTGTTAAGACTCTGGTAAGGTTGTCAGTATCTCACCAGTGTGGGATAAGGTGGTAACTGGCATTTTTGATCTTAAAATGCCTTCCAGCCCATTAACCTGTGATTGTGGGATGGATATACAGGGAATGAGCTTCTCATAGTGAACTAGTGAAGAGCTTCTCTAGTGAACTAGGATTGAATATGCAAGGTGGAGAAAACCAGAGATGAGAGCAATCAAGGGAATAAAGAGGTGTTGTTATAATGCTCAGTGAGGTGAAGAATACTTGGTGCTTATTGTCTTTATAGTCCTACACTGCAGCCATAACACACTGGCTTATTTTAGCTTATGATGTTGGAGTCTTTAAAAAGAACAAACAAAAAACCCAAAGAAAACATAAATGAAGATTTGAAATAATTTGTGCCTGCTCTCCAGGTTGAAACCCAGGTGTTACAGAACAATATCTCTTTGCCATTAATGGAAAGTTTTACGAGGTTTTGACATTTTTCTTTACATCACTGTGTGATTCTTTGTTTTGCAGCTTGTCAGTAGTTAGCTTCTGATTTTCTCATTTTCTGAAGTCTTCAGAACGCTACAAAAGACATAGAGTCAAACCTGAATGTTGCTGTTCAAGGGGCAGGGAGAGGAGACAAGGTGCATTTGTGGTGCTGGTCAAATGCAGCAGTCCTGGGAGAAGAAATTATACTTGAAAATGGGCATTTACTATGAGAGTCAGCTGAATGAAAAGTGCTTCTGTGCTGAGATCTCCCTTGATGGTTATTGTGTGCATTATGCTACATTTGTTTACCTGATTTGAATCTTCCTCTTGACATATAAAAACATTTTAGCTTGACTTGTGTGTTCCACACCAGAAGGAGTCAACATGAAAGCAAAACCACGCATTTTAGAGTTGAATGTGAGCTTCATTCTTGAAAGTCCAGCATGTGTTTTTCAGGAAGTGAGCGTGGTTACTGTGCTGCAAAGAGAGAGAAAGGACAGCAACACACACGGATCCCTTTAGGGAAAAAAAGCCAACTTTATTGTATGGACAGCCCGGATTTAAAGTGTGTTATGTGCAGCCAGGACAGGACAGGAGCTCATTGGACAATTGGGAAAAACATCCTTGGGACAGCACCTCAGGATGTGTCCCACGGGAAAGACACCAGGTGTTAATCTTTATTATGAATTCCACTCTGTTTTTCACCATGTTATCACCCTGGGAGATTCCTCCCTAACTGAAGCTGCAGTCAGCTTGTCAGCCTGGGAATGGAGCTGAGAGTCAGGAGAAATCCAGGCCTGAAAAGAATTTCCAAGCTGTAATTCCCTAGCTCTCTAAATGTGTGTGTCCACAAGGAAGGAAATAAAAATTCTCTGTGCTGAGTTGCAGAGATGCCAGTGTGGAAGCCCAGAGGTGGAAGTTTCCCTCCATGTGTCTCTGGTGTGTTTTTTCCAGCCCCAGTGGGAAGAAGTTCCGGAGCAAGCCGCAGCTGGCGCGGTACTTGGGCAGCTCCATGGACCTGGGCACCTTCGACTTCCGCACGGGCAAAATGCTGATGAACAAAATGAACAAGAACAGGCAGAGGATGCGCTATGACTGCTCCAACCAAGCCAAGGTAGGACTGAGCAGCTGCACTTCCCCTGCCTGCCGTGGGGCTGCCACAGCAGTGTCTGGAACAGAGGGAAAATGCAGCATTTCATAACTGAAGTGTGAGCTTGGAGCTGGGTCAGAACATCTCTGTTGGTAGGGGTTGGACAAATGCTGCTGCCAGGGGGTTGGTGCTGTGGAGGAGAGTTGTGTCACTGCTCAGTCTGCTGTGGAGGAGGGCAGGGAAGAGACTGTCACCTTCCACAATTCCCAACTCAAGAAAGGCAGTGACCTGTGGGAATGAGTGTGCAGGGCAGCCCCTCTGCTCTGGGGACAGGCTGGGAAAGCTGGGGGTGCTCACCTGGAGAAGAGAAGGCTCCAGGGAGAGCTCAGA